TCAGGTTCTATAGGCCAAGATTGTATTGAAAGAAGAGATCGGGCAGATAGAAGAGCCAGAAGGAAAACCAAAAAGCGTGTGATAGAGAAAAAGAAGAGCTTTGGGGACCTTCGTGGAGCTCAAAAGATAGAGCAACTCCCAATGGAACGGCAGGAATCACTCGGCGAAAAAGCAGAAAAGGGTTCCACATCAAGCAACAAAAGTCTCCCGGATAATGGAGCTTTAGAAAATCGTTCCACCACAGGAAGCTCTTCCACCAGTGATTCAGTCAGCACGAGGCCTAGAAAGGGTACGATGAGAGCTACGAAGGAGTTAGATAATCTGGAGTTTCCCTACAAAATGGCTTTTCATCGTTTATTGCGTATGTTCTCTGTCCACCCTAACCCCTACGCGAAGCTCAACGCGCTGTACGAGCTTGAGCATTTGATCATTGCATATTTAACACCTTCCACCACGAGACGGCCTCGAATCCGCCAGGAGCCTATTCCTATCTCTCCACAATCCCCAGAAGTTTCGCATCATAATGCTTTTGGGCCACCTGATGCAGCAACAACTACCCCAAGAGCGAAAACTCTAGGAGAAGCAATTGACAATTGTAAAGAGCGTCGATCTCATACACTCAATCAAGGAGATAACCCTTCGCCAATCAATCGAAATACTGAAAGATACATGGGCTCAAACGCGCCAACTGCTGCGAGTACAGATATGATTGTCGATGTCTTGCAAGACTTATTCCGCGACCCAGATATGCGACCAAAGACACTGTTCCGTGACTTACAGTTCATTGCTTCATTTGTCCCAGCTGCTACTTTAGATAAAACAGAACGTGGAAAAGCTTTCTGGGATGCCGGTCTTGCCGCGCTTGGTCTGAAGCAAGACGTGTGCCGTACACTAATCGAAATTGCAGATGAGATAGTTGTGCATTACACCCAAACTCGCAAGACAACAGCCACTGTGTTAGACTCTTCCATTAACGGCGAGTTGATGAAATATAGTATGCAGGATGCTGCAAATATGTGGACGATCACGGCTAAAGAAGGAGACCCTGTGGCAGAGCGAGAGCTTGCCATATTTTATTTGACCCACCCCGAATTGGTAGAAAGAATTACTGCACCATTGAGCAAACCTCGTGAAACCTTTAAAGCACAAGTTATGGAAATGCATCAAGGCAAGGAAGGTGTGGTGACCGAGAGAGATAGAGAGAGGAGTGATCCTGCCACCATGTGTGTCGCTTATCATTGGATGGAATTAAGTGCACTTGGTGGGGATGAACTGGCAAAGAAATACCTACGACAGCGCGAGGAGCTGAACGCTATTCCATGATATATGATTGATGATATAACAGATGTTTTGCTATACGCCCTTCATTTGCAAACGAGAACATGATGTTGTATATACCACCGACGGAGTTTATTTTCAATGTTTTCAGCAAGAGATACCTTTTATTGTTATTTATGGCAACGGTACTGTGTACTTGCCTGTTTTGGAATTGGATATGTTTTCATTTTCGTACGTATCATTGTACGCACTTCCTAAATATAGGAGGCACAGGGACTTCACAACATTCAAAGAAATGGATAGTGTCACGTATGATATGATAAAAATTTATTTCGATGAATACTGTCATAAAAGCTTGTAATTTTGAAGGATATTTCCTGTGATATTGTACTACTTGATGATATTTTGATTAGGTTCTGTCTTTCCAGCGCAATTTCCATTTCTGCTCCAAAACTCCGCATTAAGGAAGACAATCCTATCAGGTTCTCTACGATTTATCTAGATGTTTGACAACTAGTCGCTGCGCCGGGTGTTTGGATTTGATACGGTAGGTTTGAATGAAATTAACTTTTATCGTTTTCGCCAGGCAAATACCTTTCACTGCCTCGAAACCAATGTAAAAGTAACAACAACGCTATATCGTTATGCAAGAGGATGAATATTGAAAAAATAAGATGCTCGAATGAGCCACACAGGGTAAGGACAAACTCCTATGGAGATAACCCGCAGTAACTCCAACCCTGTGAATCCTAATCCACACCATGAATAGCTTCATGTAACAAATTGGCTCTTCCTAACAAAAACAGCATTCTTGACTCGTTCTCTCTCCCTCAGGAGTCGGTTTCTCTCCTTGTCAAGATAATGAATAGGCCATCCGCCCACCGCCTCGGCCTTCGTCATGAAACTCGTCCTCCACTTGATATTCCAGTTAGTGAAACCAAGATCGTAAAATGGGAGGACTAAGTTGAGTTGAGCTATGGAGAGCGGCTTCTTGGTGTTAGAGGGAGTTTGCAAGATGATATCCAAGCGCTTGATATTTGGGAAAAGCTGTAATTTAGCTACGAGTCTCTCAATGTGCTGAAATTCGCGGGTTTCCTGGCAAGTTTGGACGGAAGAATTGGCTTTGGATTGATTGGTGTCGGCAATGGAAGGAAATAGAATGTTGACAAAGATATACTTTGCATGAGCAGCAAATTCTGGACCGAGGCAATCGATGTGATGGAGCAATGTGTCATAGTCCTTGGGAGACTCTTCTTGTCCAGCAACTTGAGCATTGGTCCCAGTAATTTCTCCCTCTGAACGGAAGTCAACTTCAATTTCAATCCAATTTTTCTCCCAAAATTCACCGCGATCCTTTGCCGGCATCTTGATAATGATATCAGCTACTTTATAAACATCAGGTTGGAATTCATCCGCGCATGCATATTTGTACGGGTATCCATTTTCCGTGTAGCGTTCGGTGATTCGAGCAAAGTTTCTAATGACACCAAGATGTGTGATTATGATGTCCTTCTTCTTCTTGTCTGCACGGCCAAAACGAGGCTTCTCTGGTCTGGGGCCAGTGGGTAACACAGTGGGAGACGGTGTTGAAAGCGGAGTCTCATTTTTCTTGGTAGGAGTGGCAAAACTGCTCGATCCACTCTTATCTGGTGTGGATTTGGCGGAGTGAATAGACATTGCATTCATCCCGTCTTGTAACAGATTAATACCTGCCTTCTGGTCAGGTTCAAGACCATGTTTAGCATTTGAATCGTTCCGATTGGCTGGCGTTGCTCCATGGTCTAATTTCATTGGCAGCTTAAACACAGCCGTCAAGTCGTCATCCACACTGTGTACATGACACGGAGTTCCATTACTTTGTGTACAATCCGCCATCTCAGATTGGTTCTCTAATTCCTTCACTGGTGAAGCCCCAGATCTGTTATCCACAGGGGCCTTTAGAAACGGTGGGATTTTGTTCAGAAGTGCTGGAACGAACACGGGCGAGGTTGCAGATAGTGATTTTGCTGCTACTCCTTTACCCAAAGCTTCGAAGTTTGGGGTGATCAAAGTTCCCTGGCGGAATGATTTAAATCCCAGGGGAGTCTTAGGACTTGTGGTGGCGGATACATCTGTTGCGGCATTGCCGTCCGCTGTGACCAAGGAGGGCAAAGTCAAATTTGGTAGGTCAAAGGATCTCTTTGCTCGGGCATTCTTATTTCCCATAATGCTATCGCTTGGTCCCAACTAATGGTAAATAGCGATTCGGGAAGGTTTGATTGAATATGACGGGAAGGAAAGAAAGTATGGCCGAGTTGGTGGTACGTTCTAGGGATATCTATGGTAGAACTTATGTCAGTAGATGTTCGATAAAAAGGTCATATATAACGACAGCGAGTTTTATGTTTGTGTTGAGATATCTGGTTTGAAAGGCTCTTCCCACGGCACTATCAACCCACACGAAAGAACGAAAAGATCGCTCTATCAGACAAAATAACAGCTCCAATGAGGAAATTTGGACGCTCAGGTGGGCCCAGAGTATTTTTTTTGGGTCATGTGCAGTATTACTACATACAGTAGATGAGCGATGGGCTACAATCAATATGAATGAATAATGGCAAGATTATTGAAAGTTGAGAAATAGTTGTTGAGCTATTAAAGAGGAGATGGGAACGTGTCTGAGGAAGAAAGGATCTGACAACAAGGAAAAGCATCGTACTTGCCAGGAGATATATTGCTAGATTGTTCTGATTCGTGAGTTGTGATTGTACTGGAATCCTATGGAGAGAAAAGAAACAGTGGGATATTTAAAGGAATTTTTGGGCTGAATTGATAGATGACACCGTAATTCAATCAACGTTCAAGGTTGGTAATGAAGTGAATAGGAATGTATGAGATGAAAGTGAATGTATATTCTCAACAACTTTAATACTAATAATATTCTGGATAAGCATATGGCCAAGGAATAAGAAAAGAATTTTATCATTTCGAGAAGTTCTGATTCATATTGTTGCCCAAACAGCTCTGAATGACTTCAGGGTCAAATATTGCTTGAACGCGTATCCAGCAAAGTATACTGAAAGAGGAGCAAGTGAAGCTCATCTCATACTCAATACTGCTGTATACCCCGACGAATTACTCTAGCTAAGCAAATCAACAATTGGACCGTGTATGTGGTAGAAGGTCAACTCTTGCTACAAGCAATAAGGATAGTCGAGATCCACTAGTTAACACTCATTAGTTGTACTAACTCGTCAGATATCTATGGCCTGGTTGTAACGCGAGAGGCTTATTGAAAAAGGATTTTTTATACACATTGACCATATGCACGTTTTTTTCTGCATGGCCATCTGATTTTTTTCAACGCGTTCACCATCTCGATCGAAAATTGGATATCAAGTCTTTCGGGACTCGAAAAGCCATAATTTCAAAATTAGTTACCTGTGTTGATGACTTCAACATATGGCAAAGGATGAATCAGCAAATCCTCAATACTGACCAGTCTGGAATCTGGAGAATCCTACCAATTCTCCAATATCTATGGCAAATAGAACTTCATTGTTCATGCGGCATAGAAAGCAAACCCGAGCAGCCAGTGTTGATCAGACAGGAAGTTCTAAAACATCCGAAGCTGGAACATTCATGGTGATTATTATCATCCGGCATATGAGTAATCGTTGATGCTTTATTCTATTCCATAAGTATCTATTCTGGCTACATCATATCTAGTCGTCACTGTCAATCTACCTCCAAAAAGCTTCCTTGGTCCAGCGACTCCCGGTATTAGCGGGTGGCGAAAGAAGGAGGGAAGACCAAGCCTCACGACCATCTACATAGAGGCGAAATTTTAAAGTACTTTGGTCGCTAGCAGTATCTTCAATTGTGATAGCTCCTAACTTTGAATTGCCGCCTGGGATATACCTTTGGAGAGTTAGCAAATATATGTATCAGGGATGTCGCGATATGCGTTACTTGATCTGTATATCATCATCATCATTTTGCCAATAAGTGTGGACCGGTAGATAGAATTGACTGAGAGGACTTGTAGAGAACTCATTCACTGTTGCACTGACTGGCCAACGGCCATTCAAGGGGGGCGGAAAGGCTGTTGCGGCAAATTCATGTCTATCTCCACTGATGATGACGACACCACATCCTCCACGGAGGCCCACATCCCACATAGCTTCGAGAATTACCTGGCGCTCGTTAAGGTAACCAGCCCATGTATCCATGCTATTCACCCTCTATAGCATGGAGGAATCAGCAATTTCCCATCAAGGAAAAAAACTCTTAAAGAATGGTCAAATAGATGCTTACCCAGTTTTTCGTGAATGGAATACTAGATGCTATGATTTTCCATTTGACACCCTTTGGCTCAGGCTTCTTGAGAAAGTCTAGGAGATCAGCAAGCTGTTCTGCACCAAGCATTGACTTTCCAGTGCTGTTGGCAGGGAGCTCCGAAGAAGAGTCTCGGTAAGTTCTGGTATCCATCAAGAAAAATGAAGCAGGCCCTTGGGTGAACTCGAAGTAAGTGGCACCGTCTCTGAGAGTGTTATAAGTCCCCGCTTGGCGAGCTCGGGGAGGATTAACGGCCGTTTGATAATGATGCCACGGATCAGCGGCGGCTTCGTAAATCTGACAAGTCTAGTGGTAAGCATATGATATATATATATATAAACCAAAGAGAATCCGACTACCGAGCCACAACTAGTACTTCCATCTAGACTAGAATCTAGCCTAACAGCCAAAGCTTCTCAATTGACTTACCCCAGCAGTCTTTTTATCCCAATCATTGGCAATCTCGTGATCGTCGAGCACGTGTATCCAGCCTCAAGAAACTTTCAGTTAGCAACTCAAGACTTTGAATATATAGAGCAACATATGCAGGAAGGAGACATGTTTCATATAAGTAATAATAGCCTATCTCTGATTGAGTATGGAAAGATGATCTATATTACTCACTTAGATTTTGCCCAACGGCCGGCCAATCTGGAGAGCTGTAAACTTGTCTGTACTCGCGGCGATAGTCCTCCACACTCACTCCGAACCTCTTCGGAACATCAATATAAATGAAGTCACCGAGAAAAAGCATGAACTGTGAGCCTCCGGGAATCGTGTTAATTACATCTGCCATGTGCTTGAAACCAGGAATTGCCAAAGCGTGGTCAAAGGGATTGTACGGAAAGCGAGGTTTAATGCAACTAGATGTAAAAAACGTGAAAGATCCTGATTGAGGTAGATGTCCAGGTTTTGGAGGAGTTGTGAAAAATCCGGTGTGGTTATTTGATGTCATCCATTGATAGGTCCTTTCAGGACGATTTGGCAATGGGAACTTTAAAGCTTGTGTGAAATCCGTGTCTTCTGACAAAGTATGGATCGTTCCGGCGAGTTGTGGTTGCTCTTCATAAGCACCCGCTGGATTTGCTGGTTTGTAGGTGATGGATATAGGAAGTTTAGAGAGATCTGGTTCTCGAACGAGCAAATTTGCTTCCGTAGGGGCACTTACACACAGTCAGTAAAGACATTCGTCGGGGCGCGCGGATCTCGATCTAGTCATGGCACTTCAATGAAGACATCTTGGCATCTTGAGACTGTCCAGCATGATGAGAATAGGAGTCCCTCATAATAGCCACATATTTAATGGTTTGCCATGACCAAATGGAGTCGCGTGTAGGGGCAAAGTGGTGCACATACATGTAGCCCATTCGTGCGAATGAAAGCTCCGTGCTAGGATGCAAAACTTTCGCATGATACACCAGATCTATTGTGGCCAGAACCAAGCCCACGTTGATCAAGAAGGTCAAAAGCGAGAGAAATGTTGATACTGGATCAGGCGCGCCTGTCAAAAGTGTGTGGAATGGTCTAGGTGACTTTTTCTCCATTACCAATGTCTCGTCTATTTCAACTTCTTCCTCCACGTGCTTTGGTCTGTCCGAGTCCGATAAATTTTGAGAATCTGCCGCAGGTACAAAAGGCTGGTCTTTGAGCTCAGTCTCTAGAACAGTGATATTGATATCATCTTCTACCACAGTATATGGTATCTGTGTTACGTGACTATAAACGAAGGAGGGCACATATAGTGCAAAAAGGGTGTATATGAGAGGCGGCCATGGCTGGGAACAAGTGTGAGTGGTTGAAATTTTGAATTCGAAAATATGTACTTACATGACCAGGGATGATTCTGAGAAAGACATAAGTCACAATCCGCAAAGCAACTGAGCTCCAAGTAGCCACCTTCTGTTGAGCCGTTGACATGATAGTAAAATAGACTTGGAGCAATTTCAATAATAATTCAGACCAAGAATACAAGTAAAATATGGATGAGAGAGATGACAAGAAAGTAGTCCAGCTACAAGGCAAGACAGAATAGATAAGATGGTGCGATAAATTTGGTATCAAAACATGCTCTATGAAAGCCTAGAAAGGGATAAGTAAAGAGACAAGAAATGATATAAGAAGTAGCAGCTTGACTATAGAATCAGCAAGATGAGCACCTAGATAGGCAGGCAGGTGGGTAGGAATGAAAAGATAGCAATGCAGATATCGAAATATCTCCTCTTTTCAGAATTGCGAGTGGGTAGACAGGTCGTCAACGTTACCTAGGCGGGTATTGAGTGTAACTATCTTGGTAGTCAGATGAATATCATCGAACTCTTGATTGAATCAATATATGGATGATTGTTGGGATGATAATGAAGATGTAAAGGTACCTGGTATAGCATCAATAACTTATGGATAGGTAAATAGTTGAGGGATCTGATTACTAGGTACCTACGTCGGTTGGGTATTGATACGAAGACAATCAGCAATTCGGTTTGCCTCAAGCTTGGTGTTGTGGGATGATGGCATTATGTAAGCTGGGTGGTGCATACCTTGTTTTCGACACTTACGTCATCGAGATAGAAAACAAACCAATTAGCGGCACTGATTCACAGTTGCGAGGTAGGTGGCTCAAGCAGGTGGCTCAAACGGGTGGCTAGTCTCGAGGTAGCTGGACTTGGAGCTGCCCGTGAGGTCAACCTTGAAATGATAACCTTGCTTACTAGCTAACTCTAATTCCAACACATATACTCTTCAACCGGTAGAAGTGCCTTTGATAAACTCTCATGGAAGCAAAAAGTAAATAATACTAGGTAGATATACAAGGTTGACTGTGAACATCGCCTTATAATTAGCACAATTGCTTCTCTGAAGTCCTAGACACACACATCTACTCGCACTCTACCATTCTCACAATAACACCCGCCTATACTCTCTTGATTGCCGTTTCTCATCCAAGGCTACTGTTATTTCCGCCTCTCACTCTCACCCTCGCACACTTTGGAAGTACGTATCGTCGTATTGTGGGTTAGCTAAGCAGCTACCAAATCCACAAGAAAATCCACAAATCCGTCTCTCGAAAGCATCAGCGGAAGCCTACAGGAGCGGGTTGAGTACAAACCCATCAACACATCAACACATCGAGACTCCGAGTTGATTTTTAATCGTGTTAGCATTGCTTGATAATCTTTTCGTCATTTTATTACTCACTCTATTGCGCGGTAATGCGGGGAAGCGAGAGGCCAGGTTGGAGTATTTAGTCGAAACCGGTCGAGGCCTATCAGCTTACGGGGAGTGTCATGGTCCAACAGTAAGCCCATGTGAGAGTTTGTCACCATACGCCAATCATTCTTAGATGTTTACCAGGCTCAGGCCTCGACTCTCGTTCTCCCAAATCACAAAGGGTGGAGCGAAGTCTCAAGTATCTGTTAATTTACTATTTATACCACCGTTTGATCGCAGACTATTTGCATTGAGACTACACACTATTCGATTTCAATCAACGTACACAAATAATCCTCTCAGCATGGCTACTTCAAACACCATTCACCTGACTCCTGAAGATACTGGCGTGTTTAAGTTCGGGTCTCAAGATTCGGAAACTGCCCAAAAAACCTCGCAGCTACTACAAGAGAACCACGATGTAAGACGCACCGTTTTGTTTTGAGAATACATACTAACAATTGCTTATTATAGAACCATCACATTTTCTTCAATAATGCAGGATTTCACAACCATATCGTCCATCACTTGTTGACTCTATATGGCCTTGGTGCTCCGGCCTCCGTCATTGAGCGGCAGTATAAACTGAATGCATCATATCAACGCCCTGTTGTTCTTTCTAAGAATCAAGTAAGTTCGCATTCTGCAAAGTCTACTGGTTTTCAAAACCAGACTTACCACAAATCATGGTTTTTATCATCTCAGTTCCCAACATTCCATAGGACAATTTCTGAAGACTCTAGGCCCCGGTCGATATGTCCATACCAGACAATTTCTACAATAGTCTTGGCAAACAAAAGTACTATCATGACTTTCTGGTATTCTGGCAGAAAGAAATTGGATCCAAAGGATGGAAGGATGTATTGAAAGAAAGTGTCTTTGCAGGCGATTCGAAGGCAGACGACATGCTCGGCAGGATGTTTGCAGGTACACAGCATTGTAGTCGCGTGTACTAAGAAGTTGCTAACACTCACCAGGGTTTCTTCATCCTCTTATTCATCTAGGTTTTGGTATTGAGTTCAACCAACCAGCGATCATTGCCGAAGCGCTAGCACAAGCTTCCGTCCACGATCTGTGGATTACTAAGTTTTTGTTGGACGTCGAAAAGAAAGCTCAACCTGGGAATAAGACGATTCCACAACTTCTTGATGAGATTAGAGACGACAAGAAGCTTTCCACCGCTGCTGAGTGGGATGATGGCAATAAGATTCGAGATGGCATCGTCGCCAGAGCACTAGATGAAATGATACACTATGCATCTCAGTGGACTGTGGGAAAAGGTGAACTTGAAGCCAAGACAGCTCAAATGATCAGCTCCGCCATTTATTTCGCTGCTGCTGCTCAACGCCCGCCAAAACAAGTTAGCCATACTACACTTCTCAGATGTACCTTTAGCTGACATTCATCCCATTAGGTGAAATTTGACTTTTACTTTATGCATTGTGTTAACAGCTCAATTTTTTTCACTTCTTTCAACAAGCAAGACTTTTTGTCCGAAGCTCAGAAAGTAAGGCTTTTAGAGTGGAAGGGACGCTTTGATATCACTATGTATGCATCCCGCCGTTCCCCTGAGCTACTCCTTGAAGAGATTTCGGGATATGTCCCGAAGCTCCTTGAAGCTGGAGATGCGGAATGGAATGGACTATTTCAAAGGCTGTTCGAGTTCGAAGACGACGGCCACGCCGTGAAGCTTGGAAGAGCAGTCGCTCATGCTGAGGTAGTCTGCCAGGATTATGAAGACCAAGATTGGGCAAAGATTAAAAGTTTCATGTGGCTAAAGATAGGCAACATGGTAGCTGACAGTGTTGAAGACACTGGAGATACTGTGCGTACCCCACGAAGTCATCCATTCCATAAAAATGTATTTACGTGCTAACCTTTCATATAGTGGGCTAGAAGTGTTGGTTTTGATGAAGCCTGGAAGGACTATGAGGACAGACCAAGACAGGTACATTTGTAGGTGATGAATTTGTGCCACACTTTTTCTTTATTATACTATGGTTATTGGGCTTTCAATGCAGTAGTCATTAATGAAGCAATTTTTCCTGGAGAGATCTGAAATTGCTTGAACAAATGTTCAATCCTAGTGTTGTGTTGTGATATCGTTCCAAGGTTGTTGTGATCATTTGATCTCCATGTTATGCATGTTAAATGCTGTGCTTCACACTTAGAATTTGACCCCTAGTACAATCAATGAAGGCCATCCTATTGCAAACAGCTCTTTTCTCTAGTCCCACATGTAAGTACTATCCACAGTATCTTGCACATGTAAAGTAAAGGCTTGTTGTGAGTGATTTACCATTTTAGAACCATCAAAGATTGAGGATTTTGTGTGAACTGCATGCATCTTATGTATCATTTACTATTCCACACGACATATGACGTTGGACTGCAGATGACATGAAAGTTCCAAACAAGACACAAATGTAGTCATATCAAGATAGTAGATTAAATTGAAGTACAACTGACTGGTTGCCGACATCGCCCTTTTGGTCTCGTCTGATAGTTCCCAAATATTCATCCGATGATGTAAAGCCCTTCCACAGTTTCGGACTCTATCCGATAACGGGCAAAATGGTAAAGCCTTATTGATGCAAAATTGTCTGAAACTTTTCTTCACCTTCGAAGTCAAGTTATCGAAGGGGTGAAGGGGTGAAGGGGTGAGTGATCACAACATCATTTACCTTATCATAGTTGCCACCTCTGTAGCTGCCCGGGTGCTCAACTTTGCTTCACTTTATAAAGAAAATAATTTCGTACTCACCTTGATTTCTCCTCCCATGTATTATACAAGATTGTTTTACACCTTCATGAATTAAGATTTCCTTTAATTCTTCATTTCAATTCTTTGCTTCGCAACGCAGATGAGATGACGCAAACTTCCAATTCCAATTCCAATTCCACCTCAAGCTCTGGCTCAGAGACTCATTGGTTCGAAAATGTAGTTGTACTTGATCTGGATCTTGAGAGACAAGAAGTCAAAAAACAACCTGCTGTAGATGTTCCATCCACTCCATCCACACCAGCTCGCATCACCCGTTCCCAATCTCTTACCCGCCTAGGCATTCAGCAGAAGTTCACGCACCCAAAGTCGCATTTGAAGACCACAGAAGCTGATGTTGTCGATTTTGATGGTGCCGATGATCCTGTAAGTACTTCATTCCATGCTCATGAAATTATAAACTTGGCAATGCTGATAGAATTGTTTAGTATCAACCTCTGAATTGGCCATTCAGAAAGAAGCTTATCACTACGTTTGTCTATGGCTTGTTCACAATGACTTCAACCTGGGCAAGTTCTGTATACAGTCCTGCTATTGACGAAGTTGCAGCTGAATTTAATGTTGCACCTGAGGTTTGTTTCCCCTGGAGCTAGGATAGCTAAAGCGAATGCCATTAACAAAGAGTAGGTCAGTCTATTGGGTGTAAGTTTCTTACTGCTGGGATTTGGATTTGGTGAGATATTCTCTTCACTAGCATGAAGTGAAGAATTAAACTAACTGTTCTTTGTGATGCAGGTCCTCTGCTATGGGCTCCTCTTTCTGAAATGTGAGTTATCGAAAAGTTAACTTCGGAGTCTTGTGTGCTGTACTGCATTGCTACAGTCTCAACCAGCTCAATTCATCCAATTGTTCACTACCATTACTAACAGCCGATCAGTTATGGCAGAAAGGCTGCAGTCTTAACCCCAGGTACGTAACTCTATTCCGCAAGTAGTTAAAGTTTAAACTGCACTCTTGTCCCTTCAACATGCAGAACCACAGCTAATGTCTCAAATAGTTTTCGTCTCAGCATGCTTCTCATTCGGTTCCGCCACAGCAAAAGACATCCAGACGCTGCTCTTGACACGATTCTTTGCTGGTATCTTTGGAGCTGCTCCTGTGAGAAACCTCAACTCGAACTCAACCAACTCCTCTGACATCGTAATTAGGTGACAAATACTGGTGGCGTTCTGTCTGATATCTGGGCACCCCAATCGCGAGGAACGGCTATAGTTGGATATGCATTTGCTGTTGTTGGTGGTGAGTACATGCGTCCTTTTCATATTTCCAATTCTCACCAAATGAAGGTCCAACCATGGGTCCTATCGTGGGAGGAGCCATTACATCAAGCTACCTAGGATGGAGATGGACAGAATATGTAAGTCCTTCGCCTCCCAAGCTATGTACTCCTTGTATCTAACTTCATCAAAGATAACCGGAATCATGCAAATGGCAGTCTTACTTCTTGGCGCTCTTGTCCTTAACGAAACTTATCCAGACGCGCTCCTGGTCGCCAAGGCACGTCGTCTCCGTCACGATACCGGAAACTGGGCTTTACATGCCAAACATGAAGAGCGTAGTTTCAGCTTTAGAGAGATGGTAAACAAGTTCTTGATGCGACCCTTTCGTTTACTGGGGACCCCGATTTGTTTTCTCATGGTTTTGTATGCTTCGTTTGTTTATGGCATTCTCTATTTGTAAGTCAGAACCGAGAATTGTTTGTGCGTATGCGCTGATCGATTGCTAGGTGCCTGGCTGCGATTCCTGTACAATTTGCATTGGCTAGAGGCTATGGACCTGTAACTTCAGAGTAAGTCTGCCTCCGACTTTACGATAATCATACCGTAGATGATGTTCTAATCTCTTTCCTTACAATAGGCTTCCATTTCTTGCACTTCTCCTAGGTACAATCTTCGGTGGCACTGCAAACATTCTGTAAGTTGTTGATTCATTTTCAAAGCATATCTACTAACCAACGAACCCCAGCAATAACAAGTTCTATACCGGCAAGTTTGAAGCAAATGAGAACCAACCCGTCCCCGAAGCTCGCCTCCCTCCCATGATGATCGGCAGTATACTCTTCGCAGCAGGCCTCTTCATCTTCGGCTGGACATCCGCCCCAAGTATCCATTGGGTAGCTCCATGCATCGGCCTCGCGTTCATGGGGTTTGGCTTCTTTACCATTTTCCAATCTGCTCTTAACTATCTCATCGATACTTTCACCTCATGTGCAGCAAGTGCGGTTGCGGCCCAAACATTTGTACGAGCCATCTTTGCTGCCTTGTTTCCCCTGTTTGTTACTCCTATGTTTCAGGGGTTGGGTATCGAATGGGGAAGTAGTGTGCTGGGCTTTGTAGCAACTGTGCTTATACCCATTCCGTTCTTGTTTTATATGTATGGTAAGAGGATTAGAATGAAGGGTAAGTTCACCACCAAGTAGCTTGTGTGAACGCGTTCACTCTACTACCATGGTGGAGAATGTTTGCTCGAAAGTCGTCATTATTTGCTTGATTATAGTTGAAAACTCGGTGTTCTATAGATACTTAATTTATTTTAGATAGGTTCCCAGACAGCTTGACCGATTATGGCTGAGAGTCTGGCGCTCTATAGATACTTGTCTCATCAATATGGAGAAAGCTTATTGCACATCCGCTAAGGAAACATAGGATCTCCGGAATAGAAAAGTAGATCTCATAAAGACATCCAAGCTCGTTCCTGAATATGTGCTTGTGCCAAATGTTCCTGCATTTGCTCTCTACTAAATACAACAAGTCAGCCGAATGTTCGTAGACGTATATGACAACAGACTCAAACCATCACGCAACACTGAACCACCAAAGCCAACGCTCGTGAGGAGTGAAATTAGTCATTGATCCCAAGGTCATAACTATACAGACATATCAACATAACCACTTTAATCCCATCCAAGCTTGCCCATAACTCCAATCCCATGCGTAAGCTGTTCACAGCATATTATACATATCTAAAGCGCTCCATCTAAGTTCCAATCCGCGACTTCCAGCCTCCAAAAATCTCCTTAATCCCCATCACTCGGTCTTCTCATATAACTATCAATCGCCAAACTAAAAGCCGCGAACCCCGCACACCCGACTGCGGCAGCCTGTGGTCCTGCCGGCGCCGCCAGCACTCCTCCGGTGATACATCCTGCAATAACCCCATTCTTCAGATCATTCTTTGCTCTGAAGCCTTCAACACAACACTCTGTGCCTGCAAAGATAGCGCCTACTTTGCCGAAATTCTTTGCCGAAGAATAGGAGCGATTCCCCATGTCTTTGAGACCTCGTTTGAGTTGTTCGCGCAAGGGAAGAGATGTGATTTCTGCAGCTGTGGAGGATGTGTGAATAGGAGTGTCGTATTGCATCTGTGTGGGAAGGTTAGTCATTGACGTAGGAAGAAAGGTAGATAAGGCGGGGCAAAACATACAGATGCCATGAAGAGACCAAAGGCACCACCGAGGGCGAATCCCATTACACCCGAGACGACAGTCTTACCCGGACAGGACTCCATTATCATCTGCATCTATCGGACATTATCAGTATTCATTCAATTCACTTTGACAATTTCCCACGGCAAGGCTCTGCTTGTTCCATGCAGCAATACTGATTGTAACCGGAGAGCAAACATACATTTTTAACAGCAGCAGCAGTCGAAGGGTCAACACCCTGCTGGCCCCCTCCTGGAGGATTGAATGCTGGCCCATTCATGTTGAACAATAGTAGTTGCGATAATCTTCGTCAAGGGAAAAGGCAGAATACAAAGATGGGTTTCCTTGAGGTGTAATCCACCGAGAATTTTTTTTGGCGAGGCTGGCGTTTGGCCTTGCACAGTCTGAAGCCTCGCGTTTTGCACAAGTACCCGAGTCTTGCCAAGTAGGTTATATGAGTTCGTCTCGCGAAAAGGGGGATGTATAGAAGAGATATTTATTGCATCAGTCTAGTTACTTTTGGGATATATTTAGGACCATAGGCTAAGCTAGCTTTTCATTGTCGGTATAATTTGCTAGGCTCTTTTGACACAGGGACGACTCTAGGTACTTAAGGATTTCACATTAAGTGTAATCCTTTACTTCATTACTGCTTTGCATAAGCTATCTATCTAAACGGGGTTTGAGCGTGCATATAAAATCCAATCTTAACCTCAACATGAGGACAAAATCATCGCTGATAGCGTGCAACGCTCCTGTAAACGCCAATTTCCTGGTATAATCCCGTCTATTCCTATCCCAATTGCGATTTCCCGTCAAACAACTTTTCCAATACCAATATGCTCTCAAAGCAGTTGTATCACATCCGTTCTCGTGAATATCACGCTTTCCTTTCTATCCAAGATTGGAATTCGAAGATTACGAAGCTTGATATACAGTGAAGTTATTGAATTGCCAGTAAGCATCTGTGAATGCGGTTGCGTTGTTAGCGACGTAGTCAGTGCAAGTACCGGGACCTATTGTATGATCAGCATGGAGATATCAAAAAAGGTCAGAGAAGAGCGTACAATCAACATCATATACACTTTGGGTACCTGCCCAATTTCCGCACAAATCAATGTTGACAATGATACTTTGGTTCTTGAAGTGATTGCCAATGTCGCAATCTGTGCTAGGGAAGTCGGCAGTAGCTTCCGACCAAGTCGATGGATCTGGGCTACCTGATGAAATATCAGTCGGTATAGCATCCCGTCCAAATTGCCACATTCGAATACCCGCGCTACGTAGTTCCATCGCCATAACACCACCTCCATTGGAGTTGAAATCCGCACCGAAGGTTCCTGCAGAGTCATGCACACCGCAACCAGCATTTGAATTCGTGCTATTCAAGCATGAAGACTGAATGGATTTTCCAGTTTCTTTACGTTTGACATCCATGGAGCAGCCTGAAGTAGTATGGAGGGTCATCTGATTCTTTGTAGAGCTCACAACGTTGACCGCCTCCATGATATCGATCTCTCCATTTGTTGGCCAATTGTTTGAATCACTTAGCCACAGTGCAGGCCATGTAGCACAACCAATTGGTGTGTGGACAATATCGAAGATGAATAGACCGTCATTGTATTGCGTCTTGGACTCAATTCGAACTGAGAAGCGGCCAGTAAATGCATTTGGGTTACTGTCGGCTGTAACAGATGTGTCGACTCTGATAACTGCAGAACTTGATGAAGCATATGTCAAATTGTATTGAGCCGCAACTTCGGAATCAACATAATGAACGAAACCGGCTGATGGATCGTAGATATTGAAGTAATCGAAGTTATCGAAAAAGTCAGTCCCTGAGTCTTCGGTAGATGTTAGCAAGATGCACTATGCCAGGGCCATCTCGTTCAATCTCTAGTCACACAATCATAGGGATAGGTGTAGAATAATCACTGCTAACTCCACTTGGTTGCGACAGGGAAGCCTTGCTTCTCGAATATCAGAAGTGTTGGTATATTCGAAGTTGCTGGGTGTGGAACATCACACAAAAGAAGACAACTTACAAGTATCCTTCAGTGTATAGTTCAATTGTGAGTAATCTGGATAAGCATTCTTTTTTGAACCTTCCACAGCAGCCACCACGATGACAATTATCAATACAATGATTCCCGCACCAAAAATTGCCCACTTCTTCTTACTCCACGCTCTCATATCCCACCATCTTGGTGCCAAGGAACTTGGGTCATCAACCTCATATTTGGGTGGTGAGCCCGACGGGATATTCGTATTTCTCATCTTTCCAACCGTAGCTACTGATATTGACCTTCTATCCAACGATCGTTTATCTTCCTTTTATTCCCAAAGTGATCCTTCGATGTCCGGTCCTAATGTTTTGTTTCCAAGAGAAGAAAATAAAAAACTACTTTTATTTCGTATAAGCTTGACTAACTCGAGTGATTTTGAATAATGCAAAAATCCAAAGGCCGCAATAAGTTCAGGATGGGCGACACACTTGTATATATACCTTGCCTGAAGAGCCTACTTTGTCTTATCTAACCAACTCCCAAAAGGCCGGATAATTATGGAGATTAGAGATGTGAAAGATACTCGTTGTAGGCTGAGCCGGTGAGAAAATTCGGTCTCTCCACTTTAGGACCTGTAACTTGTACCAACCTGGCAGGGTGTTTTGGTCGCAATCAGGTACCTAGAAGGGATACGATGTCGAGGATGGTTGGGAAAAGAAGGTTTGATGGATATGCAGGCTGACAAGCCTCGTGTAGTAAAGCATGGGTTGACGTGGACAAAGCGAACGAACGAACGGACATACAAACTTGAGATTGTAAAGTAGCTACGGGTAGAAAGCTTAGAGAAGGAGTAATCTGATGGGAGTAAGAAACGTTAAGTTGATTAGATCCGAAGAGGAAAGAAGCTATGAAAGAAGCATATCACTTAGCTTTTGAATCAAGTCGAATTAGCGGATGTACTGTATTGTAAGATCAAGATCGATCACAGCTACACAACTCAGTATGAGAGTTATTGATCTTCAGTGCCAAAACTGTTATTGTCTCGACCGTCCCAGAATATCAAACCTTTCTAACATGTGCCGCCAACAAACAAGTCGGTACTTCCCAATGCCTGACAATCCACTCCTTCCCTCGTCAGGACTCACTCAGTACAGGGCTCTCCCCTCCAATCACGAATTATCTGTTCATACTACCCGATTACTGTGGGGGGTTCATGAACTTCAATCAAGAATCATGATGTTGCCATGTTGGAAGACGAAGATCATCAAGTTCGTTCGGCCAATATAAAGGTTGATAGAGAACATAGGTCAGGATAAATATTGGATATCGTTTCAATTAAAAGACGAAATGCCAACTCAGACTTCAATTGAGTTTAAAGTCGGAGATATAATACGAATACTTTGTCTTCCTTCATAATTCAGATAAGCAAAGATCTAATCATGTTTTCTTCTTCTTCAGTTGTATGGAGTAGGTCCAGTTTTGGTGGTTCTAGCTCTAGCTCCAGACCCTATTTTTAGTGAATTGTGAAAAGTCTGGGCAGGTACGAGTCCGACAAAATGAGCAGGAGCAGGGCAGCTGGGGCAGGGCAAAGAAGGAGAGAAGGAAGAATTACTATTAATTGAACCAGCTGGTTGAGAAGTGCTTGTATGTATGTATGTATGTATGTATGTATGTATGTATGTATGTATGTATGTATGTATGTATGTATGTATGTGTGTATGTATGTATGTATGTATGTATGTATGTATGTGTGTATGTATGTATGTATGTATGTATGTATGTATGTATGTATGTATGTATGTATGTATGTATGTATGTATGTATGTATGTATGTATGTATGTGTGTATGTATGTGTATATATATGTATGTATATATATATATATGTATGTATGTATGTACGTACGTACCACTTCAAGACCCAAGAGAGATACCCTGCTTGCTATCGAACTACCGGCTGCCATATATCATTGACTTCACACCGGCAGATCTTCTCTTGAAATGTATCCATCACCACAAACCTTCTTCACGCTTGCTCAGAAGCACTCACCAGTAGACCCACCAAGAATAAAGCTTCAATCTCTACCTTCCCAACCTCCTTGCTCTTCCCAACCTCCTTGCTCTTTCCAACCCCAAACTCCCACAATTTACACGATAAAAAAAAAAGCATGCATCAAAAGCCAAAAAAGGAAGTCGTCGTACCTTTCAAAAATTGTCGTCGTTGAAAGCCGCGTAATCAAGAGCTCAATCCTCTCACTAGTGACATTCCGAAGCCAACGACTAGTTATCCACTATTTTTCGAGGGCAGAAAAAGCGTTATAATGATGTATATAACACACGTATAATGTCACCCAGTAATTGAGTCTACAGTGAAATGTAAATTAGAGATACGTAAGTCTGTACAGTACAATAGAGGAAAGCGTATGGGTACAACAAAGCTTCAATGCAAGTATTTCGGATTCTGTATAATAATAAAAGCCCTTCATCCCATCCATGTGTAGGTGGAAGCTTGGATGTAGTTGAGAGATTTGGGGTATATGAGCAAGAATTGGTCATATACGAATATCGTCCGCTTGAAGCTGGGCCAACATATTTGTGATTATTGACTACTTGAAGTTGGATAATACTTCAAAAGATTTTACATGCTGTAGTATGACAGACCAATGTGCTTGGAAATCTTATTATTGAGAAAGTAGATTCATCAAGTCTTTAACAAAAGGTGCAAAATAAAACACAAAAAGACAATCTAGAGTCAATTAAAAACGGACGCTCATTTATCAATGTACGAATGCCTAGGCCATGCTTTATACACGGATTGCCCCAATCCTAGAGATTATCTATAAATACAACGCTGTTCATGCATTCCCATGATTGTCCATCCATTTAATCATCGTCCTCATCCACTCTCGCCCGTTTGTTGGACCTTCCCTCGCCTTCCTGTAACCCATACTCTCTTTTATTAGAACTTTCACCGACCTTGCTCAGAAAATCATCGACATTGAAAACATCGCCAGCATCCTTTTCAAACTGCACCGGTCCCTCCCTCGCCTGTTCACCCCTCAAATTAGCTTCATCCCCACTCGTGACCAAGGGGAAATTTCTTACCTCAACATCTGCTGCACCTTGAAAGGTTCCCTTTCCAAGGGCATCCGCAAACCTATTACTTTTCTGAATCTTCGCCATTTCACCTTCAGCTGCTGCTTCATCATCATCGTCATCCATATTTTGCCGTGGTCGATAAATGCTGCTAATAGCATCTTGGGCCGCAAAAAGAGGTTTATCATAGGCTTGATCCTCGTTGAATCCACTGTCAAACCCACTTGTCCGGTTGAATAATCTGGAATCAAACATAGTTTCGGTTGATTGTGTAGGTTTTGCCAAGCCTAAAGCGACCTTTTCTGATATATCTCGATTCTGCTCTCGCGCCATCATTTGAATCCTCCTCTCTGTGCCCATGCGCGACTGTCGTAATTTTCGTTCTTCATCTCTTCGTTTCTCTTGGCGCATCTTTTCTCGCTCTCTGAATTCTTCATCGTCGCTGTTGGATCGATCAGACTCAGATTCGCTATAGCTTCCAGAACGAGATCTTGACGATCTCGAGTCTCGCCTTCGGGAGCCAGCGCCGGCTCCAGCCCTCTCTTCTCGTGCCTTCTGTGCTAACATACGAAGATGATCTTCCTTTTGTGCCTTCTCTTTCTCTGCTAGCCTTTGTTGCATTAATGCTCTCTGCTTGACTTCTTCTCGTGCGTGCCTATCTGCCGTGAAGAGGGCTTCTGCAAACTGTGCAAATTTATCATTAATAGTGACGTCCTGTAATCCTCGTCCATCTGCAGCCAATCTTTTGTCAAGTGGAACCGTGTAACCCTTAGGATTCTTCCAGTTCGACACAGGAGGTGGAATTTTCCAAGCTTCTTGATCCTCTGCAGTCAATTTTCGTGGAGGTGAATGCATGACCGGAGCCGGAGGGCTTGGGGGACCACGGGGAATCTTCTTATGCTTGAATTTGGGAGGCTCCATAGGGTCCTGCTGCCTTTCCACAATCTTCATGATTCGATCATTTTTTCTCGAATTATCCCCCATCTGATTCGCCGGGGTATATCTAACATAAGTAGGGTCCTTTCTTGCTCCGACATTTACGTTCTTAGGTTTTTGTGCAGCTACAGCACCGCTGACCAGAGTTGCCAAGGCATTCTTCGTTCGCTCGGTAGAAGCCGCAACCTCTTCTTCACTTGGTCTATCTAAATTAATATCGCCGGCATCAGCTCGTTGTCGTAGAGGTATGAGGTCCTTGAAAGAGGCGTGTACTATTCGTTTATCATTATGGCCTTGCCGTGCTATGGCATCGTACTTGACTTTTCCCTCGCCGTCGACTTGAAGAGCCAGCGCATTATTCGATGAAGTAGATTTGCGTCCCATTTCTAAAGGATACTGTGCGACTGGAATTTCTGGGAAAGCACCTCCATCTCCAAAGTCTTCTTGTCCTCGTGGCCGCCATCCTGTTCGATTACCATATGGTGGAGGTCCGGTTTTCTGTGAACGTGATGTATTGTTAGAAGAAACCTCTAATTGCTCAAGATTTGAAAGACCAACCTTTAACACAATTTGGGTATCGTCCAAAGCGCCTGCGCCTAGGATTCGAGGGCCTCTCTGTTGCGCATGTTGTGGAATATCCTCTTCTTCACCTGTATATTTTGGTTTTGGCAATGCCCGTGATAAAGAAGCTGCCATTGATGCGATAATATGTAGACGGGCAGGACTTGATCGTGTTGAAGTGGTTTGGAAGATACAAAAACACGAGATTGAATTGGTTTTACAAGCTTGTGCCTATCGTGAATCGATAAATGTCAAATTGTCGCGATTCTCATCCATGCTACGTCACGCTAACCTAATTGACACTAGTTTATACATGTATGTGAAATAGAGCAGAGCTTACAAAATCCAATATATATATATTGCCTAATAAGTAGCTGATGAATTGCAAAAAGATAAATGATACATGATTGACTTGTATATCTAGCTAAATTAGTACGATAGTTTACCTATTTAGTACTGTCGAAATGTTCAAAAGTCTTGTGTGTTTAGATAACGCTTTGGAGACCATGAATTAATTCACACATACGATACTTCCAATAGACATATGGATGGAGTAATACAATCAATTAACTTGACTTTAATCATATTGGGCGTCAATTGTGTTAAGTGTTTATAGAGTACACAGAACCCCTCTTCGGACCCAGAATCATTTCAATCATCTTCAAAGCCATCCCGGTCCC